TCGATAAACAATGAATATGTTAGTTGTAACAACATCAACTTCGTCTTATATTGTCATGAATCGTTTTCTTGTATAGATCCCGAACGTGCTAGGGTTCACCTTCGGCATCCTCCAAATGGTGCTCTACCTCATGTACCGAAAACCGAGCGAAAAAATCGAAGAGCAAAAGTTGCCTGAGATACAGAAGCAAGTCGTGGTTCTTGACGAGAACAAAAATGTCGAGATCATCAAGTTTAGCGCCATCGATTTGAGTTCGGACAAAACTCCGGCCTTGCCCAAGTCGTGCAAGAACGAAGTCGAGTCGATAGCTCTGCCACATAATTTTCCCAAGCAATGCGAAGTTTGATGTGGGGCTTCTTGGTTAATTAATTAATTAATCTGCATGGCGTTTTATAAATAAATATCTGCATGTAAGATAATAATAATACTTGTTTAACTTGCTTTTTCTTTAATTTAGCTCTACTTTGTGCTCTGCCGAGAGACCGGCGGACTTAATATTATGTAACTTCTATGTATTTTTTATCTTTATGCGATGATTGGGATTAATGAAAAAGTGGGTGTTATTTGCTATAGTATATGCTGTCTCTTTATTACAATGTTTTGATTTTGTTCCTTTTTTTTTTTTTCCTTTTCACATGTGAAACTAATTAATATTTTTCTCGGGCTTGAGTTAAATGTCAAATAAATTCGTTACCAAATATTGTGAAAATTTAGACAAATATTAATATCTGTATTAGTCTATAATTAAATTTAATTTATATGTTGTCATTATAATCATTGGATCGTGAATGAGGCTTGTAGATTAGCTCAAACGTCAACAATGGATGGTTTTCGTCAAATTGGATTTAATTTCCCGCAAAAGTACACGATATCCAAAATTCGTCACAAAAAAATCACGATGTATGAATGACCTAAATTTTGAGGATATTTAATAGTACCCGCAATGCAAATGCACCCTTCACCCACTGATTTGTGCAGAAAAATAAAAGGGAGACACCTTTCTGCACCTTGTGTAACCATCGGTCACATTGGACTGACTGCTATACTAGTAGCAACAAGCCCTGACCATCGCTTCTGTCGTGCCGATGTGCGGCTAGATCGGGCCCTTCAGCTCCTCCGAGGGATCCCATCGGGAAGGGGAAGGGCAAGACTAGGGGTGTTCATCGGTCGGTTCGGTCTACCGACCGAATCGAAATACAAAAACCGAATTAACCGAACAACAATATTACAAAAATCGAACCGACCGAAACATTTCATAAAACCGAAACACAACCGAACCGAATTAGTCGGTCGGTTCGGTCGGTTAACCGAATTTTTTACAAAAAAAAAATTTGTGGATTGTTTACTAGGCCCAAACATATGGGCCTTTTCATTAACATACAATGAGGACAGAGGAGCAGCGACGATGGAGGATCAATGAGGACGGAGGAGCAGCGACGACGGAGGTGCAGCGAGGACGGAGGAGCAGCGAGGACAGAGAAGCGCGACGGAGGAGCAGCGAGAGAGGGACGACTGGTGCGAGTCGACAACCGGTGACCACGAGCTCCTTGACTGGACGGAGGAGCAGCGACCGACGGAGGAGCACCGAGCGACGGACGACTGGTGAGCAACGGAGGAGTAGCGGCTAGGGGTGTAGCCGTGTAGGGTCGGAAGATCTGGGGACGGCGGGGAGCATTTGAGGACGACGGGGAGAGATTGGGGAAGGTGCGGCGCGCTTCTGAAATTAGGAGGATTTGAGGATGACAGAGTATAGATACAGTGAGCGGGGAGGATTTGAGGGAAGGTGCGTGGAGGATTTGAGGAGTGAGGACGACAGATTATAGATAGTGGCGTTTCTGAAATGAGATGTATTAGGGTTATTCATTTGTATTAAATTATTATATTATAATATATAATATATAATATGATATATATATATATATATATATTCGGTCGGTTCGGTTTTTTCGGATATTTTATGTCGAAAACCGAAACCGACCGAACAAACCGAAAATTTACAAAACGAAAACCGACGACCGACCGAGTCGAACAAAAACCAAACCGAATTGGTCGGTTCGGTCGGTTTCGGTCGGTTCGGTCGATTTCAGTCAAAATTTGCACACCCCTAGGCAAGACCTTTGCTCGCACGCCTGAGTCCCCAAAGAGAAATAAGGACAAGGGTAAGGCTGTTGTGGAGAAAGTCCACAGGCTTTTTCCCTCCGCGGACTCTCCAGCAAGCCTCTACGGCCAACCACTCTTACTTTGATTCCATCTCTTCCGAGATAGAGGCCGAGCCATCCTCTTACACTCGAGCATTTGGAGATTTGACGAGCCCTCTCCTTGAAGACTATGACCTCCTGCATGATGAGACGGACCAGCCTGAGACCTATGTGAGCGACTAGTCCACTCCTTTTCACGACGATAGTTCTCGAGACGTGGCTACTTCCAGTGAGCACGATGCCTCTAAGGAGAGATCTCAGGGCTCGCGCCCCACTTCTATTGCTTACTCACAGCTCGGTGGCCCCTACTTTTGCTTCCGAGAGTGAGCACTTAGTGGTGCGTACTGTCAGTGTCGTTTCCCTGGCCGTTGTCCAGGACGCGCGTGCCTCGCCACCCGGCTCTCCTCCTTATTCCCTCCCTTAGATGGTCTGCACTCTTAATCGAGCTCAGGCTGTTGTCGATACCCCGGAGCAGGGAGATCAGCAGTAGAAGGGATCGCACCTGAAGAGCTTCGACCATAGTCGACCTTGCACCAGATCCAGGACTGCGCAGCGCTCAGCCAGCCAGACGTTACCCCACTCTGGTGGACCGATTCACCCTAACGACAGATGGACCCAGTCGGGTGGCACCTTCGATAGTTGATATGTCGGTCACCTCCCTAACTTGGAACTCCCATGGCTTGGCGAATAGGACCACCCTAGCTCATATTAACTCTCTTGTCCATGACCATAGGCTCGACTTCGCCGCTTTTCTCGAGCCCATGACTCGTACACCTTCTTTTGATTTCTACACGCCGTCATGGTTTCCACTTTTGCGTGGCAAACATTTCTAATAAGATCTAATTTTTTCACTCGCGTGACTACACTTGTCGAGCCATCTGTGATACCGTCCAGGTGTTGCACGTCGAGCTTACCACTCCCCATCTTCCGGAGCCCATTTTCCACACTCTTGTTTATGCCAATTATGCGAGAGTTGGGCGTTACAATCTATGGGACACCATGCGTGAGATTGCTAAGAGTATGAAGGGATCACCGTGGATGGTAAACGTTGATTTCAATATCTTTTCACATCTCGATGAGTGCGTTGGTGGCCTATCAGACCGTTCAGCAGAGATCCAGGATATCCCTCAGGCGGTGGTGGACTGTGAGTTAACTGACGCTGGTTACGAAGGTTTTCCATTCACTTGGGAACAGAGTGGAGTCAAGGAGAAGCTCGACTGTGCCTTGGTCTCTAAGGCATGGGCGAGGGTGTTTGCAGTTATGATCGTCACACACGTTCCTCGAATTGAGTCTAATCATGCTTCCCTCCTCATTCGGTGTAGATTCTCGAGCACTCCGCTTCGTTCTTCGTTTCGATTCCAAAACATGTGGATTCGCCACCACGTATTCCGGAACACTGTTAGGGATTTCTGGCTGTAGTCGACTAGGCTTTTTAGGATGCACAACTTGGAGGCCAAGCTTGAGAGACTGCGATGCAAGTTGAAACAGTGGAATTGGGATGTTTTTGGAGACCTTTCCCAGCGTTTTTTCTGCAGCTAAAAGTGCGTATGTTGACTCTAAGCGAGCCTATGATCTGGAATCCTCTCCGGAGAATAAGACTGCGATGCGCGTCACGCTGAGTATCAGCTCCGACTTCTTATGGAGGAGGATTTCTGGAAGAAAAAGGTTGTCGTTCATAGGGTTTCTGAAGAAAAGCATAATACCAAATACTTTCAGGGGTTTCTGAGGTAGAAGCATGTCTAGTCGGTCGTGGCGCACTTTCAGTCTCTCTTCACCTCAAACAGAGACTTGCTTACGACCCCCAATGCTTTTTTTTTTTTTCCCACCATCCCTCAATCGGTCGACCTTGTTGGCCTTTGCGAGCTCCCGAGCAGAGAAGAAGTTAGGGATGCTGTTTTTGGGATTGATCCCAACAGTGTCTCTGGCCCGGACGGCTTCTCTTCCCTCATCTATTAGGCCTGTTGGGATCTTGTTGAGACTAATGTTGAGGAAGCAGTAGTGGAGTTCTTCTCTAGTCATCTGATGCCGAAGTCCCTCACGGCTACCTCAGTCATCTTGATCCTCAAAAGACCTTTCCTGAGCTCTTGGTCGGGCTATAGGCCTATCAGCCTGTGTAACTTGATCAATAACCTCATCTCCAAAATTCTTAACGGGCATCTTGCCCCTTTCTTTCCTTCTCTAATCTCTTGGAACCATAGTGGTTTCATCAAAGATCGAGTCATTAGTGATAACATTCTTTTGGCTGGGGATATGATCCACGACATCTCTCTTGTAGATCGATTGCGAGTCTAAATCTTGTGCTGAAGCTAGACATGACTAAGGCATATGATAGGGTTGAGTGGCCTTATCTAACGGAGGTGCTGGTCCGGATGGGTTTTGCGGAGCGGTGGGTCAGCTTTGTGGAGGCGTGTGTAGAGCACTGCACATTCTCTGTTCTGGTTTGGCTGCCCCTACTGACTTCTTCTCTTCGTCTCGGGGCCTTCGGCAGGGGGACACCCTCTCCTCCTCGCCTTTTATTTTGAAGACGGACTACCTTTCTCGCTGCCTTGACACATTTTCATCCATTATAATTCGAGGATGACCTACAGCACAAGTGGCTATGGTCCTCTCATCTCGCACCTCTCTTATTTGGATGATATCATTATCTTCACTCGAGCGGATAATGATGGACTAGTCGAGTTTACGCACCTTCTGGAGCACTATGGCTCGGTCATCGGTCAGCTCGTCAGTGTACACAAAATTATTTTCATCCTCTCCCCTCTCATTGCGGATCGATGGGCAGCGGGTCCACGAGCACACTGGTTTCGGGCGTCGCGACCTTATCATCACCTACCTCGGCGCCCCTCTGTACAAGGGTCATCTAAAAAATGTGCTCTTTGCAGATGTTAGGCAGATAACGATTTACCGGATCTCTGGCTAGTCGTACAAACATCTTTTTTTTTGGAGTCGACTCGCTCTGATCAAGAGCACCCTCAGTGCCCTTCCACTTCATCTTCTTATGGTCCTCGCTCCCTCTCAATCCACTATCCACGAGTTAGATCAGATCATGGCTCATAATTTCTGGGGTATGAAGAAGGCTCCCGGAGGGGAATGCAGGTCCACTAGGTGAAGTGGGATTTCGTTACCGGTCTTTTGCCGGGGGTAGCTTGGGGTTCGTCGCTTATTGAATGTAGTCACCGCTTTCTGTTATAAGTTGTGGTGGTGTTTCAAGGAGAAAAAGTCGTTTTGGGCTTAGTACCTTCATAGGAAGTACTGCCCTAGAGGTTCATGTCATCTCTGTAGAGTGATGGCCACCGCTCATGATAGTAGACAGTAGAGGTGGCTCACCAATTTATGTAAGCATGCCTAGGAGCACATCTTCTAGACGCTGGGTGAGGGG